CATTATAAGTGATGACTTGTAATTCTTCCATCCTTTTTTATATCCTTCTTTTTCCTTTCCAACCGGGGATCGCATAACTACCCTCCTTCTCTTTTCCCTTGCTTTAATACCTCTCTCAATCCTACAGAGTATTACCCTTATCAATTTTCCTCCCCCCCTCGCCTCCCCCCCCCCCCCCCCCCTCCTTTCCAGCCCCATCCCTCCCCCCCCCCCCTCCCACTCCCCGTCCCTGCCCTCTCAAACCCCCCCCTTCCCCTTCCCCCCTCCCCCCTCCATACCACTAGGCATCTAATATACCTATTAATCATTTGTGGGCCTAAGAACCACTGTTGATTATTCTTTGGGGTTGAACTCTGCCCATGGGCAGCTCCTCCTCCTTCGCCCTCCTCCCCAGCTCTTCCCATCCGTTATATCATTTCTTTCTTTACTATTAACATTCCGCGATTTCCCCCCTAGGGAAGATCTCGGAAAAGTCTCTATTTAGACAGTAATTAATTCTACTTTCTCCCTCTAACAGTCTGCCAGTCCTCTTGTCTTGCCTCTCCTCCTTTATTTTCTTCTTCCCATCCAGGAATCTCCATCCTTTGCAACTCAAGTTTTTCACAAACATCTCTCATATCTTCTGGGAATCTCAGGTAGGCTGTTATCCCATTTTTCCATCCAATCTGGCAAATTGGGTTTCCCCATCTATAAAACACTTTTTTTTCTCATCTGCTCTGTCAGTGGTTTCAAAATTCTTTTTCTCCACAAGGTTTCTGGTGTAAGGTCTGCAAAGATCTGAATGTCCATTTCGCCATATTTAATCATTGTTTTCCCTTTAATCTTCCTCCAGATCTCTTCTCCATCCCCATATCTGTGGAGTTGAACAATTACATCTCTCGGTTTTTCCTTCCCACCATTTTGATATTTTTTCCCTCTTCTCCAAACACCATCTGTTTTAATCACCTCTGACGCAGCTCTGTTCAATGTGAAAGTTAAGATTTTACATATTTCTTTTTGTAATGTTTCCCCTAGTCTCTGGGATTCCTCTCAGCCTTAGGTTGTTCTTCCTATCCCTATTTTCTTGTACTTCCAGTTTATACAGTAAACTTCTCTTGAGTTTTCTCCATACTCTTTACTTTTTCCTCCAATTGAGATATGTTCTGGGCCTAATACTTAACTTTTTCCTCCATTTCCTCCACTCTTGTCAGCACCTGCCCCAAGTCCTTCCGGATAGTTGCCATTTCATTCTTTATTATCTTTTCTAAGGCCTCAAACATTTCTGCCATCTCTTTTTTATTTGGTGCTTGTAGGTCACTTTCCATTTCTCTCCTCTCCACCATTTCCGATATCTGCTGGTTAGTGATATCCAAGCCCAATGATAATCTAGGGCTTTTTTCCAGGCTGATGTCCCCCTCTCTTTTTCCATTTGTACTTTGTGACCTTTCTGGGGTTATATTTCCCTGCGATGTATATTTTTTAATTGTTCCTGATTGGGACCCTTTAAGCCCGCTTCCTTTTAGTGCTCTTATTCTTCATGCCTTCTATAGGGCTCTTTTATTTTTCCATATGATATTAAATAATACAATTCTATAGTAGGGTCCCCTTTTTGCCTGGTAGATTATTCTCTAGTTTTCCTGCTTCAGTTGCTAAATTAATCTCTTTCCAAAAACCCCGGGAATCCCCTCCTCTCTCTTCTCCTTTGTTCTTTTTATGTTGTATCATAAACAATAAACCATACGAGGGAAATAATAAATCATAATTTCATGAATTCATTTTCAGCAGCCTCCACTCACCCAGCTCACCCCTCCTTCTCCTCGGTGTGATTCCAGCTTGCTGGCTTCAATTCCAAAAGGCTTGCTTGGGGATTCCACAGGGTCATTTTCTTTAACTTTTTTTTTCCCCCTCTTATATCTTCTCCCCTAGGGGTGTCCGTGGTTCCTGGATCAGTAGGGGCATCCGACTTTTCTCCGGTGCAGGTACAGCTAGGGGGGTACTCGGATAAGCCGCCTTGTCTCTCCCTGCTTCTTGTGAGACGCCGGCCGGCTTCCTCCTTTCCCAATGCTCCTTTGCGGCTGACCACATGGTCACGCCGCTCTCCAGTGACCTCGGCAACCCGGCTTCCCGGCTCTCTCACTTGCCGCGATCCGGGTCGCGGGCAGACCAGCCCGCACCAGCAGCTCCTCTCTCTCTCCACTCCGGGACTCCGCTCTGCCGCCGAGGTCCCCACTCTCCAGGTACCTCTTCAGCCGCTCATGCCTCTTCTTGGATGGGGTTGCTGGGGAGGGTTTAGGCGGGGGAGTCCTGTTGGAGAGCTCCTATCTCATGCTCTCCGCCGCCGCCATGTTCAGGCTCCTCCCTCTCATCTGCACAGGCCTGTGTTATGACAGTTTTATACAGACGATTATCTCAATCATTATAGTGTTATAGCTGATAACGCTGAGTTTCCTCTTTCTCTGTATAAAAAAGAGGTGGTGGCAGTGTGAAGGGTTAATTGCATAATTAACCTGACCCAGTAACAATCGCCCAGGCTGCCGGTACATCGATTGTGGTCTGTTAGCTGGAAAATCATTGTGCAGGGTGCAGCTGGGTGTGGCATTGTTACGCACGTCACATCGCGGTTTTAGATCGGCTAGTCCATCAGTCAAGAGTTTGGTGAGAAGGTCTGGGGTCTGATGCTGCGATCGTGGGATCGTGATGCCATGAACTTCAAATGAGGAGAGGGACAGAGAGGGAGGTGAATGAAGGACCTGAAAAGTACTTTGAGGGGATAGGAGGATTCCTACACCACCTCCTTTCTGTCCACTAGGCCTGGGAGAGTGAGTCCAGAGGAGACCACCATGGGAAAGGGCAGCAGGAGAGGGAGAGTCAGGAAGCCAGGTTTCTGTATTTGCAAGCAAGTTAAAGGAGTTTGTAATAAAAAGGTCATGGACAGAGGTGAGTTTGTTACAGACAGAGCTGGCATTCCAGAGGGCACAGGAAAAGGGGAGGCTGGTTCTAGGAAGAGGAAGAATAGTAACTAGATTGTGTGGATTGCGGCTGCTGTTAGAGGATAGGGGTGTCGGGTGTGTTGATCAAAGGAAAAAGATGACGGCCCAGGATTTGGGGAAATGTCTGCAGATGTTAGGAGAAGCAGTAGGGTGAGGGAGGTAATATGGGAATATGGAGGAACAGGTTCCAGTGTCCTGGAGGTTTTGTTAGTGTGTGGGTTCAGAATTATCAGTTGATGAGTACAGTAATAAGGCGAAGAAAGGAGTGAGAGTGATCTATATATAAACTTTGGGGTGGAGAAGAGGGGTGAAGGAGAGAGCGTTTGAAGAGAGAGGACACAACTGTGAGCAGGAGTAGGGAGTGCATGTTACAGAGTGGTGAGCTGAGGAAGCAGACTGGATAAGAGCTGGATGGGTAAACAGGTCACCTGTAGTCTGATTAGTATTTTGAAGTTGTCTGCTGTTGTTTCTCGCTTTGTGCATTTGCTGAAGTGCAGAGCCGAAGTGTAATACTTAATCCATGATTAATACTGTATCCATGATGATAGCTGCCAATGCTGCCCCTGCTGTGCCTCCGCTAAGGAAGGCCTAAATTTATACTGAGTTGGGTGGGGGAACACCATTTAATCAATTAGGAATGCTTAGCAGACGCACATGGCTAGCAGGGCAAACTTCTCACACCAAAGGAGGACTACAAGAGAGCAGGAGGGCAGAGTTGTAAAGATTAGGATCAGCTCATAAATTTGGGTTAGACAATAGCAAAATAAACAACACAGTAATATGGACCAGAGTTAAAGATTTTGGAAGCAGTAAGAATGACCAATAAGAACATTGATAGTTATGAATCGGCTTCAGTTAGAGGTGGATTTTAAGCAGTATAGATTACACATATAGCAGTGCAGGGTGATTTCACACTCGTACATGGCATGGGCGATATTACCGATGGATATTGCTCGCAGACAATTACCTTATAGCAGTGCAGGGTGAATTAGCATTCATACATGGCATGGGCGATATTACAGATAGATATTGCTCGGAGACAATTACCTGTGATGGGATAGAGAAGAGTTATTCAGATAATGCAGAGCCATAGTGTAATACTTAATCCATGATTAATACTTTATCCATGATGATAGTTGCCAATGCTACCCCTGGCTGTGTTGCCCCTGGCAAGAATCAAAGCGTCCATTCAAGAATTTGGAGTTATGAGCAATGTCTGTTGTTACATCATTGGACCCCCCTTCTTAGTGATCATCCTGTCCAAATCATTGGACAATGCTACAGTTGTGGCTTGCGTCATTCATCAGGGGGAACCGGAGAGACTACGGTTTGGCATTATTTTCATGAATTTCTGTCATGAACATTACGGGTGTGGAAAATTGACAGGCAGATTTTCTCCGCTGACTATGCCTGAACTTGGGGGGTAATGGCCTGTTCTTTCAAAGGAACCTTTTCATAGGGGGCCTTGGATAACATTTTTATGCAGCACGCCAGTCACTTTGGTGAGATGGGTTTTATGCATTTTCAGTGTTGTCCTGTAAGAATCCGAATTAGGTCTTACATAGTTGATGCTGTTTTGAGTCCAATAGCTTCCTTTTTACCCATAGTGGTTCCTGCCTTTCACCTTAATGAGGAGCATTAAAGCCTTCGGTTTCTTATCAAGTTGTGCACAGCTTACGGTAAGTGCAAATGTCATGTGTGTGGCCATAGTTTTTTCATACTGCTTTACAGCTGAAGCATGGCTACAGCATCAGTTCCTTAAGTGGGCTACATCATAACCCATGGTTTCTGAATAGAATTTCTCATTGAAATTTTACAGCAAGTATATAAATCCATTTTTCATAAGCAGAGATTAGTAGTTTCTGTACTTCAGTACGGGATTTCTTTTTCACTCAAGCCCATGGCTGTCATATAAAGTAAGTTTAAATTAAAATCTTCACAGTACACAGCAGGTTGAAAGTAGGTAACATTTGTTTTGGTAAAATAACACTTTGTGTATTTTTCTTTTTGTGTTTTTTTTTGTTTTTTCAGCCCCAACAGATTACCAAAGAGGTGTCTCCAGAGCTAAGATCTAACCAAATCTCTGATGTCACATTTCTGAATATAAGTACAATTGCTTCAGCCATTGCAAATGCCTCGTGCAGTGCAGACCCTGCGGAGTTGGCGGCTATGATACTAGCACTGTCAAATAAAAATAAAGGAAGTGTACCTCTTGATGCTTCTGTATGTAATGAAACTCTTAGTAGGTATTTCCAAACTACCCTACAGAACTCAAATTCAGAAAGGATTTTTGATATGGAAAAGTACTTAAAAGCCACAGTTAATTGCCAAGACACTCAAAGTGAAAGTTTTGATCATTCCGTTAAGGATTTTACTTGGGATTTGTCTCTGGGACATAAGCAATCTCTTAAAGATTCTACTGGAAATATGGCTAATATTACAGATGTTCAAAAGAAACCGGAAAATTCAAAATCTCTTCAAGTAGGTTGTGTTAAACCTTTGCCTGTAGGAGCAACTTTTAATGGCACCATTTTAAAGCACAGTGTTCCTCATGGAAACCACAAAAATGATTTCCAATCACGTGTTCGAACTAGCTTGTCAAATTCTGTTGAAGTGTCTGATTCAAAACTGCCTGCCAACCAAGCCTCCAACAGATCTAGACTCTGCGACAGTAAAGTAAACACACAATCTGCTACTTTTATACCAATTACCAGGCAATCTGATCAAGTAGATTATAAATTTAAGACAGTCAGTCAGCCATCTGCCAGTAATTCAGACCAAAGAGAATGTGGATCATTAAAGTCTTGTCTTCAGACCGTACAAGATCTAACTCTCCAAGAAAATCCCATTTCCACATGTCAAACAATCCACCAGGTTTTAAGGAATCCTATGGTGTTCGTGGGGAAGCTTCCCAAAAACATGTTTGTTTTCAGACATCACCCAGTGGAAGACATGAGAAATTTAATGGTAAGATGTTTAAACAAATATTTTCCCCTGTTCATCCTTCACAAGAGCACATACAAGTGGTTCCACCCACCCAAAACAGAAAACATGGGGCCCAAATAAAAAAACAGCTACTGGAGTGCCTCAGTTTTCTCTTTGCCTAGAAGAAACACAGTTTTAAACTATTACCTTGTATTTTCGGTCATTAATTTAGTTGCAGACACATTATATCCCCTCAACTGATGTCCCTAACAGAGGATATTCTTCTGTTTGCAGAAGATCACTTCCTTCAGTGGTTCACCTGAACGTGACATTAACAACTTCTGTTTTTTCTAAGCAGGAAGTTGTTGAAACAGAATAGCAATTGAATCACCAAGCTTTTCACTGGAAGATGGGGTACACTGAACAGTCTGGTTTGCTTTTGAAGCAAACACAACTAAGCAATTTCTACTCTCAAGTAGAGAAAACGGCAGCTCAGCCATGAATATTCCAGTTGGGCTATGCCCCCCAAAAATAGTTCCACCATAAAGTAAGTTTTTATTTCTCACTTATCCTTTCATTTGCTGTCCTGGCAGATGATTAGGGAAAACATTGCATTTTCCAAGATTTCACAAGGAAGCACGTTATTCTCTAATTTTGAGTGTTTTTTAAATTATTACTGAGGCTTTCCAGTAGCTAGTGCTTTTTTATTTGGGTGTGAGCCTTGTATTTCCTTTTTTTTTTTTTAGTCAGCCGAAACACTCTTTATGTTCTGTACTGGAAGGTTCTGGGAAACGAAGTTAGCAGGAAACAAAGTTCATGTCGGGGCTGTGATGCTATCATTAAAGTGTTTGTTCACCTTAACCAAAAAACTGCCTATGCAGATAAGAGCCGCCTGTAGGTAAAACAAACCATGCAGCTTTAACTTAAGCTTTGTGCTGGACTTTTCCTTTTGCATTTTTCATATATATATATATATATATATATATATATATATATATATATATATATATATATATATATATATATATATATATATATATATATATAATCTCATACATACATACATACACAGTATCTCACAGAAGTACGTACACCCCTCACATTTTTGTAAATATTTTATTGTATCTTTTCATGTGACCACACAGAAGAAATTACACTTTGCTACAATGTAAAGTAGTGAGTGTACAGCTTGTATAACAGTGTAAGTTTGCTGTCCCCTCAAAATAACTCTGCACACAGTCATTAATGTCTAAACCTCTGTTAACAAAAGTGAGTACACCCCTAAGTGAAAATGTCCAAATTGGTCCCAATTAGCCATTTTCCCTCCTCTGCGTCATGTGACTCAGTGTTACATGGTCGCAGGTGTAGTAAATGTTGGTGTTATCACTCTCACTCTCTCATACTGGTCACTGGAAGTTCAACATGGCACCTCATGGCAAAGAACTCTGAGGATCCGAAAAAAAAAGAACTGTTGCTGTACATAAAGATGGCCTAGGCTATAAGAAGATTGCCAAGACCCTCAAACTGAGCTGCAGCACAGTGGCCAAGACCATACAGCGGTTTAGCAGAACTGGTTCCACTCAGAGCAGGCCTCGCCATGGTCAACCAAAGAAGTTGAATGCTTGTGCTCAGCGTCATATCCAGGGGTTGTCTTTGGGAAATAGACATTTGAGTGCTGCCAGCATTGCTGCAGAGGTTGACGGGGTGACGGGGGGGGGGGTCAGCTTGTCAGTGCTCAGACCATACGCCACACACTGCATCAAATTGGTCTGCATGGCTGTCGTCCCAGAAGGAAGCCTCTTCTAAAGATGATGCAAACAGTTTGCTGAAGACAAGCAGACTAAGGACATGGATTACTGAAACCATGTCCTGTGGTCTGATGAGACCAAGATAAACTTATTTGGTTCAGATGGTGTCAAGCATTTGTGGCGGCAACCAGGTAAGGAGTACAAAGACAAGTGGGTGTTGCCTACAATCAAGCATAGTGGTGGGAGTGTCATGGTCTGGGGATGCATGAGTGCTGCCGGCACTGGGGAGCTACAGTTCATTGAGGGAAACATGAATGCCAACATGTACTGTGACATATTGAAGCAGAGCATGCTTCCCTCCCTTTGGAGACTGGGCCGCAGGGCAGTATTCCAACATGACCACCCCAAACACACCTCCAAGACGGCCACTGCCTTGCTAAAGAAGCTGAGGGTAAAGGTGGTGTACTGGCCAAGCATGTCTCCAGACCTAAACCTTATTGAGCATCTGTGGGGTATAATCAAACAGAAGGTGGAGGAGCGCAAGGTCTCTAACATCCACCAGCTCCGTGATGTCGTCATGGAGGAGTGGAAGAGGACTCCAGTGACAACCTGTGAAGCTCTGGTGAACTCCATGCCCAAGAGGGTTAAGGCAGTGTTGGAAAATAATGGTGGTCACACAAAATATTGACTTTGGGCCCAAGTTGGACATTTTCACTTAGGGGTGTACTCACTTTTGTTGTCAGCAGTTTAGACATTAATGGCTGTGTGTTGAGTTATTTTGAGGGGACAGCAAATTTACACTGTTATACAAGCTGTGTACACACTACTGTACATTGTAGAAAAGTGTCATTTCTTCAGTGTTGTCAAATGAAAAGATATAATAAAATATGTACAAAAATGTGAGGGGTGTACTCACTTCTGTGAGATACTATAGATAGAGAGGCCAGATTTATTTTTTCTTTTATTATGATTTATCTGTGTTTTTGTGTTGGCAGAGAATAAAACTGTTGCAGAATATGTTGCCCACACAGTGGAAGAAGAACAGTACAGTTTTAGACCATCTACTTCCCCTTTGATTCACTCCTCTCCTAGCCAGGATTCACTGAAGATACCTGAAAAGGGGTGGGTAACTTTGTGTGTGTGTGATACAGTAGAGTGTACTGTCTGGAGTTCTGTAGCTTTATGCATGTAATTCTGTAAAATCTACCATTGGTATTTTTTTTCCCCTCATACTAGTGATTCTCCACAAAGGCAAACTTCTATGCAGAAATTGTCTCATGCTCCATCTCCTGAGTCGTCATGCCTCAGTCCTAGTTTAAGTAGACTGACCTATATATCTGCCACAGAGAATACATTGCAGAATTTAAGTATTCAAAGTCCTGAAAAGAAAAAGGTAAGAAGTGACTGGTATCTGTGCTCTACTTATGACACTGGTGTGCAAGAGGTTGCTTACTACAAAATACTGAGAGATGCACTTTAGTGTTGGCACCATTACTGCATGATTATCATTCATTAAGAAATAACTAGAAGACAGATATACTCATGACATTAGGAAATTTAGGATATGTTTTTGTTTTTTCATTTTCTGCACCCATGTCCAATATTCTAATTTATCAAGCCTGTCGGGTAAAGGAGCTATCTGTTTATGTATATCTTGGACTGGAAACAATTGAATAGTCTATCATCATTTCTGATTTTACCAGTTGATATAACTTTTCAGAACTGATTTAAAATGTTATAAGTGAAACTGCTTTAGAGATACAGAATTGAAACGGCTTCTTGTGGTTATCAATCTCTGATGTCCGAAATGCAGTGTGTGCACTTCAACCTTGCATTGCCTCTCACTTAATTTCCTGTGTTAAAAAACACTTTTTTGTTTTATCTTGTATGTGTATCCTGTGGACATGATTTAAAGCTGCTTAATTTCACTGAAATGTTTTTGTTTTTTTTGCTTTATTTAGAATAATAATACGATTGAGCTGAGCACAACTATAGTGAGAGCCAGTCCTACACCTTCAGAAATGCAGCTTGCATGCAATGACAATTTATCTTGGGAAGATCACAAAAGTCAGATGACCAACAATCATGCCAAACTGAGTAAAAGTCCATCTGCATTCAGAACTGTAACAGCCAATGGCATTGGAAGTAAAGCTGGAGACCCTAAACAATTGGATCCAATGTCTTTATGTAGCAAAGACCATAACACTTTTCTCATGGCAAGAACATGGCCCAAAATCAAGTCAAATATTACCTTCTGCAGTTGTGCCTCAGTCAGATGTGCTGGAAAAGTACACTGCAATGCCGACCCTTACTGGTAATCAATGTGTGTGTGCTCCTGGCTTCAAACAAATTGTACCAGAAAGTGATTTACAGAAACTTCCATCTTCCGTATCTTCCTTGTTTTCTGGACAAATTCTATCCAACGCTGCATTTACACAACAATATTTAAAAAATGTAAATCCATTGGCTGTTTTTTTCTGGGGGAAACCCTGGTCTCTATGGAGCTTCCACTGGATACCCCAACTGTAATTTTCCCACCCAAAATATACAAAACGCAGTTACTGGAGTTCCTTTGAGTGCAAATATTGCTCAAGGATTACTAGCCACTTTGCCAATGAGTAGTCATACTACAGCCAATCAGAATATTGACCATCATATCCATTTACTTGAAAGCCAGTCTGGATCAGATGGAATTTCACAATGGGCATCCTCAAGAATATCGTCTGGATTTGGTAAGTATATACACAGTAATTTCTAAGTAGTTTTAGTATTAGTTGAAGTTATAAAAATGTTTGTTTGTGTATATATAATATATACAGTCATTTTTTTTATTATACATTCAAGGGCAAGTTTTGATCCCTGAAGAGGTTACTTTTCCCACTGCTTGTTGCGTTGGAATTGCATCTCAAACATCACTGAATATATTTAATCCAAATGAGAGATGGATGCAGGTTAATATTGGAATACTCAGCATTGCAATAAATGGAGAAAAAGTAAGTGATGCTTAATACAGTTAAAAACCATTTCTAAATTCTCAAAAATCTTTTAGCTGTCTATTAATGAAGTGTTTCTCAGAACATTTCTTTGCCATGATGTGTAAACTTATCAAGGCCTGAGATCTGAGTTAGAGACTTGGTGGTGTGACGGGCACGGTGCCCAACCCCTGCGCTTCTCTCTAACTTGTGACCGAGGTCCAGCCAATCTCACACTGCGCTGTCATTTGCGTAACAATGCCACTCTCAGCTGCGCCCTGTACAAATATTTTCCAGCTCGCGGGACCACAGTCTGTGCCAGCAGCCTGAGAGTGTTTGTCACTGGATTAATTACCCTATTAAACCTTCAAACTCCAGACTGCCTCCAGATAGCTTTGGGACTATCAACCCTTCACAATGTTGGCAAGAACTAATGTGAACAATAAACATCTGTAACACACACGGTCAGCAGAGACAGGTATATTCAGAGGATTATTATATACAGTAGCGCTCTTCAAGAGACAGGGATTATTTAGTTTGCATTAAAAGCCTTAGAGATAATTTTAACACTTTTCAATATAGGATTTATTAATGTCGGGTTTTCTATTTTCTGTGGCACGTACAGTAATACCAAGATATTGGAATACTCAAGTTCTTCCCTCTATTAACCCCTTTACGCTGGCCACACACAAATGTGCGGCCTCCCGGCATCTGGGCCTAGACGCCGAGCGGCCGCACATTTGCGTTCATGTAAAAAAAAAACACATGTGCTGAGAGTGCGCGCTCCCAACACACATGTCCGGTACTCACCGAAAAGTCCCGGCCTGCTCTTTTGATCAGGACCTTTCCCGATCATGTGACCGCCGTGACGATGCGTCACGGCGGTCACATCATCCCTAAAATCACGCCACGCCTCCCAGCGTCTGAAACTCTTAAAGGGCCGGGGGCGCCGGCGGGAAGGGGTTAAGAAGTGGATATATGAAATAAGTAGAATAAAAAGATTGGAAGAACTGACAGCAACTATACATGAATGTTATCATAAGTATCTGTTGGTTTGGTCCCCTTGGTTTCAGTTTTATGAACTCTGATATTTTTAGATCTTTTATAGAATAGATAACAGGTTGATATTTCAAACTAAATTTTATAAAATTATTTTTATTATGATTAAAGGAGATGCTCTATGACAGCGGTCTCCAAACTGTGGCCCGGGGGCCAGATGCGGCCCCTTGCTTGCTTTTATCTGGCCCTTGGGGCACTATTTTTATCCACTGATACCAACAATGGGGCATAATTCCACACACCAACGCTGACACCAATGAAGGGGCAGAGATGATCCCAATGACACCAACAATGGGACCCAATGATAACAACAATGAGGTACTATTCCTTCCAATGACACCAACAATGAAGCCCAATGCACTAACAATGGTGTGCTTTTCCTTCCTCTGACACCAAAGATGTGGCATTGTTTATTCATCAGGACCTTTTCTACTCCCAATGCCCACAGTCTGGCTCCCCCTTAAGTCGGATGGACAGTAAACTGGCCCTTTGTTTATAAAGTTTGGAGACCCCTGCTCTATGAGGTGCTGTGGTTATTTGTGGAGTGGAATTTTTTTTTTTTTTCTTGGTTTCTGTATTTTTCTTTGTTTATGAAATATTTATAGTCTAAGTGTGAACTGCAATTAGTATTCTTTTATTTTCTACTATGTACGAGGTAAAAAAAAGTGCTTATAGCTGTAGTATTTTGATGCTTTTAAAAAAAAATGAAATTCTGAAATTTTAAAAGAATTTTGTCTATCTTCTTGTTAGACTTTGGAAAATGATGATAAAGATTAATAAAAAAGGGGGGGGGGGGGGGGGGTCATTAATGAAAAGGTCAAATGGTGCAATTAAAATATTTATGGAAAGGGATGTTACAAAGAAATAAAGAGAACAATAAAGCAACAGAGAAATAAAATAAAGGAGTTAAGAAGATGGAATACTTGCAAAGTCCTTGGTTTTAGCAGAGTCCAGTTGTCCAAGCAAAAAACATTGCCGTGACTTTCTTGGGTGTTCCTTTGTTGATGGTAAAATGAGAGCTCCCTCTTAAGTCCTGTCAGTCCCTTTTTCTGTGATATCAAAGGGGCATGGAACGAGAACAACTGACCAATCATCCGGTTTATAGGATGGGTGCTAGGAGGTCACTAAATTTATGACCAAGTCCCAACTACAGTTTTTCATACTAATAATTTCCAGTATGTTCAGGTGGTATTCTAGCAACTTGCAGATTAATATTTTGAATTGTATTTTGAACCCAGGGATACCAAACACAGCGTACGTTTGTCACCCTGGAGGCAGGAGACTGCTTTCTCCCCTTTCATATGTGCTTACATAGTCATGTATGACCTTGTATTTTTTCTGTATGATATTCCTCATTCAAATATATACCTAATAATATTAATGTGTCCTGTTCCTGTTGAATTCTATGAATTGTATGTGGAATTGTTGCGCTGTGGAATAGACGTTTTATGGCACACTCTGTATTTCTAGAGCCTTAATGGCCTTACACGTCATGGGTGACGGCTTGACGGAGTTAGTGTTTTACGTTCGGAAAGTGTTTTTCGTGGTTCCTGAAAACAGATATCCTGCCAAGACTAATTAGCTGTTTACAGTTCTGGTCAGGTCTGGACACTGCATGTATTTGGGTTTTAATTAAGATAAAGAGGTTCTTTTGAAGCTCGTTAAAAGTTGCAGCCACAAATTCCATAGTTTGCAAAGGGAGGGGGAGTAGGAACACTGCTCATAAGACCTTCACAAGATGGCTGTTGTGTACAGGTTCCATGTCCGTATTGCTCACGATCGTTACAGGCGGCTTTCACTGCGGATTTATGTAAGGAGAGCAAAACCTTGCCACTGCAAGGGAATATGTCTTCCACCCTGACGTTTGGCTTTAATGAAGACTTATTACATTTTATTATGGTGACAAACTGGCAGCAGGTTCAAGGACAACATGTAGTTCCTATGCTAAAACTAGAAATGTGCCCATACTAAGTATGGTGTACACATATCATGAGAAAATACAGCTTGCCATTGCTGGCCTTCTAAAAATGCTAGTTGCATGGTTGTGTCTGGCTTCAAAACATAAAGCCAGTCTCTATGATGTGTGTCTGTTCTAAGTATTAAACCCAGTGCATAACGGTGAGGTAAACTGGCAGCCTATGTATTTATGATAATGTTCCCGTTGCATTAAAAACACTACATATAAAGGAATCCTGTACTTGGAGAAAAATGCAGATTACCATACCTGATCACATTCCAAATAAGCCAGCTACCTCTGAAACATTGCTACACATGGGAACTAGTATGTTTAGAAATATGTATTATTTTACTGGACACAGGCAGCATATTCATACACCGTGGACTTGTACTTCAGTGATTGGACTGTCATGCTTTTTCCCATACCTCAGTCATTGAACGATAGCGAGCTTTTGAGGATATGACTTGCAGAAGAAAGAAGGGGTATGTGATTTCCATTTGTTTGGTAAGGTAGACTTGGTGGCCAGGAAATAACTGAAAAAGGCCTCTTTTGGCTGAATCTACACTGCCTGGTAATATAGATAGGGTGATATGATGTAAGCAGGGTATGGGTACACCTGCTATGCATAGACACAAAAAAAAACGGTGGACCAAAATGTAGTCAGACATGGACATTCCCACCATATCTGAAGTAATGTCCCCCTGTCACCATGGTATCTCTAGCAGATGTTTGAGATATGGGGGAAGATAGCATCAAGTCTAACAAAATGTCTACAGCAACCTACTCTAGAGCTTGTAATTCCAGTCCTGGATGCGACTCGCTATAGTCATACTGTGTTGCAAAGGAAACCTTCAATATATCTTCCTCTAAAGGAGTTTGGGACATCTTCTAACTGAAGGCAACATCTTTTTTTGTTTTCGAGAATGGCAAGGGATTAGAACATCTGAGATATATTTTTTTTTTATTGCTCTGTGTCCTTTTTAGGGCGATTGACTTTCTATTTCTCGTATGGCTGTTTTCATGAAAAGTGGTGAAAGAAAATTCCAAAATTAATATTTGTAATCAGTGCAGCAGTAAAGGAACATGGTGTAAAACTAAATCCCTGCAAGACTTCACCCTCTACAGATCTGCCCATCGCAAATATAACTCCGGCATCCACACTGCTAAACATACATACTCCACCACTCTCATCCAAACCCTCTCATCCGATCCTTGTCAACTCTTTTCTGTACTTATTTCCTTACTTCACCCTCCACTGCCTCTACCCTCTAACCTACTGCCCAGGAGACTGACAGTCATTTCAAGAACAAGATCGACACAATTCGTGATGAGATTTCCCAGTATCAAACTTTCTCCTCCAACATACCAGGTCCAACACCACACAATGTACTCGTCTCCTTCCACGGTTACCACCAAGGAAGTTGCCAAACTCCTTTTCGAGGCCCACCTCACCACCTGTTCACCGAAGCCTGTCCCCTCACAATTACAGTCTCCTTCATGCTCTATCCTAAACTCTCTAACCCACATGTCATGCCTTCAGCATATGCTTATGTCATGTTAGTTTTTTATTATGCTATGGAATGTAAGGTATATTGTAATATTGCCATCTAGTGGCTATTTTGTATAATTACAGTTTTATAGCTTATTTTCTGTAGTTACACATATTGTTGCTTAAAAGCCATCGTAGTTTTCCCATCATCCTATGGTCTTCACCATGAGGTCTTAGAGACATTTCCTAGCAGCCATCTTACAGCTCCTCCAGAGGACTCCACACTTATTCAGCTGCAGTTCTGTCATCAGCCTATCGAAAACATCGCTGGTATGTTTAAAACCATTTCCTTAGACAAGTGTGTCAGGACCGTATATTTTGTATATTGTATACACTGATTGTCATTTCTTTCATTTGCAGTTTTATCTGAACTCCCCTACAATAAAAGTTGGAAAGAGGACCTAGCGCCTGCATCAATGAGTTGTTAAGGGAGGAGAGTTAGCTGTCTGTCTAATG